TAGACATCAGTAAAATTCATTGAATGAATTTTTTTTTTATGAAAAAATTTTTAAGAATATTCATCTCAGGGAACAACTCTGGTGGCCTAGTAGGGAGCTCTGGTGACCTAGCCAAAGAAGCAGCACTGCAATCCCAGAAGTGCGTGGTTCTAATCCACCAGATGCTCTGCTGAAGAAGGAAGGGCAATCTCTTCCTGTAACAGTTAGATCTGGTTTGATGGTACATGCACAAAAAATATTAAGATAAAATAAATTTCTAAAAATACATTCCTCTTATCTGTAAAATCTGAATTTAAAATATCTGGTTTTTCCTTACTGTTCTCTTAAAGTGAAAAGCTAAATATTTGTTGAAAAAAGTACAAAACAAAATCATTTCTGGAAAAGAACTTAATAAGGTTCTGAGGGCAACATTACCAGTTCTCAGCTCAGCGTGTTTAATGTTTACAGATTTTTTTAAATATACTTCCAAGTAGGAAAGCATATTTAGACTGGTAGTTAGGAAAGCCAGTTTCTGGCTTCCATGCAGCAGCTTACTTTTGACTCAAAAGTTTCTAGAATCTGATGTTTAATTGTATATACTTTTATTTCTGAATTTACCTTGATGTCATCAGAAACCATGTTGCAGCTTACTCATGTTTAACAAATAATGACAATTGAGATCGATTCCTTTACCTATTCTCGTACTCAGCTAACATTTTTAAGCACTTCCTTTGACCATGGGATTAAAAACTGAAAGAGTAGTCTTTGTCATCAAATTATTCTTATAGTTTGGCACACAACATGGTGTATAAAAGTCCCCACAAGTAAGAGACACAAAAGTAAATGCCATTCTGTTTCATTGACTGTGATCCTGGGCAGGCTTCTCAACTTCCTCATCTTTATGATGTGAATAATAATGTAAGTGTGTGGTTTTGATGAGATGTCAGTGCAGGTCGGCTCAGCCCTAGTTCTTTTAACTTCAGGATTTAAGACAAAAAGATATTTTAACTGTCGGAAATTAATCCTTTAAAGAAGCATCTGTTCTTTTCTCATGTAGAAATACAATGCTACAGAAAGACACTTGGAGTTTTGTTTGTTTGCTTGTTTTAAGTGACTGAGGATCCCAAGTCATCAGCTTCAGAAAGAAGAGAGAGTGCATCTCCTTAGCAGGCCACAGAGTCCAGGCTGTGGGGACATCTATGTTTATGTGCTTGCATAGAGATGTTACTGTCTTTGAATATTTATAAAATACAAAGCATTTTCCATACATGTCTTTTTTTTTCTCCCTCCAGCTAGATAAAAGTCCTGAAGGACAGTTCACTCAGCTAATGGCATTACCCAAAACCTTACAGCAACAAATAAATCATATTATAGACCCTCCTGGAAAAAACCGAGATGTAGAAGAAACTTTATTCCAACTTGCCAATGACCCTGATTGTGCACAGGTGGTACGACTAGGTACGTACTTGAACTTTCCAGCCATAGATGCATGCTGAACTGAGCACTGGGATCCACATTTATTCCTTCCTGCCTCATGAGATCAAGGGATTTCCTCGAAGAAGAAAACACTACTAGCCAGAATTTTTCCAAATCTAAATTTTTATTTGTTCGAAATGCTTCTAATTTTAAATTCCTGGGTCCTAAATCACAGTCAAATGTGAGAATTTTGTGTTTCTTTTCATTTGAAGAACATAACTCCCAGACGTTACTTAAAAGACTTGTATTCTTCGTGGTGATCTGAGAAGAAAGGAGCTTGGTTGCACTTTCACTGTTTTTGTAATATTGAGGACACAGCTTTCATCCACCAGCACCAGGTGGATGTAGCACATACTGCATTCAGCAGGGACACTCTGACATGGTCCATTTCCATAGCCTTATCTCCAGGTTTATCCAGAAATCTGAATCTTCTCAGCATAAACTTACTTCCTTTTGAGAAGTTAAAGATGATTTATGAGATCAGTCAGTAAAGAAACAGTTATGCTGCCTCCCCTCTCAGATAAGTAAATTTGCCTCTTTTCCTCCCGTTAAAATTTATTGAGCCCTGCTAGGGTGCAGACCTCTGGACTAAATGAAGTTATTGTAATGGTGTTGAGTACTGAACCACAGCCAGGCATCAAGGGCAGTATGTAGCCCAACTCCCTTTGTCAGCTCATAGACCAGCCTCAGATTTTCAGAGTAGATGTTTGGCAACCAGGCGCCTCTGCTGAAGATTGATCTGTCTTAGATGTGTTGTCAGCTGTTTTGGTTTTAATGTACTCTCTTTACAAGCATGATGTCCACACCTTGTTGAGGACATGAGACACTTGTTGCCCTTCATAGAGGAATCCTATGTGCATGTTTTTAGAGTGAAAGTGTTTCTTAGAGACAAAAATGTGCTTTTTATTTGTTTCCATCTTGAAACTCAGAACCAGCAGACTTAAAAAGGCTTAAAATCGTGAGATGGCCTTTAAGGGTGAGTCTGAGAGGAGGCCTAGAGCATTTTTGGTCAGAGTTCTTGGTCCTGATGCCCTTGTCACTGGCACTTTGATAACAGGAGAGAGACAAAATGGCCTCACTGGGTAACTGAGAGAATTCTGGCTTTGGGCCTGCAATAACAGTGGGATGTCCTTGTCATTCTCCTTTCCAGGCTTGTCTGCGATTGTAAGACCTTCCAGTGTGAGACAAAGCACTAAAGGCATCATCACAGCCGGTAAGAGCTTGAGAGCATCCTCGCCTGCTGGCTGTAGAGCCTTGGCCATGCCTACTAACAGGGAAATGTTCCACATCTGCTACGTACCTTGGAATGGGGGATTCTGAGTGTCATAGGCTGGATGATTGCAGCCTCTAAGGCAGAACAGCACTGTCATGTGGTCTAGAAGACTCACACTAGAGAGGTCCTGTCCTCTTTTGAAGCTTTGCTGTTGATTGTTGTTGAGTTGATTCCTAGTTACGGGGACTCTGGGGTGCAGAGTCGAGCCACTCTGTAGAATTTGCCTTGTAAGATAGCAGGACTTTCCAGCTAGTGGTCAAGTGCTTAACTATCTGTACCATCCAAAGACTTGGTGGGCAGTTTCACTGCCCTTGGAAGTTGTAATTTCTGAATAAATCCTTGCATGCAATTTTTCACATCATCTATTTTTTTATTATATTTCACTTTTCTTTTAGTGAAGGTTTACACAAAGATTTTTTTCATTCATTCATGCACTCTGGTTGTACTTTCTTCAAGACAGATTCTTTTTTTTTTAGAACTTTAAAAACATAAAATTTTATTTAAATTTGTGCACAGATAAAAAAATTTAGCAAACGGAAATAGAAATCTAGTTTTGATTCTTCCCCACCATTGCAATGGACATTAGTCAAAGCCACATTCTCTCAATTAGTATTTTCCTCTCTTTGTAGCACAGGTGGGTGGAAGGTGAGGTGGTGCGAGAAGACACTGAGACACAGTGCAACTTCATCTTTAGTATCTCAAAGTGACTTAATCACAAAGATTTGCATGAAATTCACAGTGTTACCGATCTTTATGTAAAATGGCATTTTCTAGTCCAAAATCACACATAAGGCATCTGGCTTTATTTTTTGTGTGAGGTAAACAATATACTCAATATTAAGGCAAATGGCAAAAGAAGACGTGTATGGGATATTAATGCAGATCTTCCACAAACCCAAACAATTTTGGAATAATACTAAGTTTTGCAAACATGTGTTAAAATTAGAAACTTATACAAACTGTAGTGCTTGACAGCTGTTTGTTTCAATGACTTAGCTTTTGGGGGTTGCCACATTCAACATAATATTGCCTGAGATTTTAATGGTTTGTGAATTTTATTATGTGGACTAATGTCCACAGAAATTCTTGTAAATGCACCTGGGATTGATTTAAAATTTTATATATATATTTCTCCATATAGACTTCTCCCTAATGTCAGCAAAACTCTGTGTACTGGGCAGGCTCCCCATGACAGAGAATTCAGGACATAGTGGTGATAGAGATTACAATTGAAATCATATTTAGGCTGCCTAGATAGCACAGGCAAAAAAAAAAAAAAAGACACTTCAAAGATATTTCACACAGTGATTCTTGTTTTCCCCAGCCCCTTTCTTCCCCCAATGGAATAACCGTTTTCTTCACAGTGATGGCAGAACTATCTTTGTATGGGAAAAATGGACTTCTTGCCCTTAGGCCTCACTTCTTTGCCACACTGGCCATGGCCTTCTTGGCTGCATCCTCCAGGTCGCTGGCTGAAGTAATGGGGAGTCCACTGTTGTTGAGTAAGGTCTGGGCCTCCTGGACATTGGTTCCTTCAAGTCAGGCCACCAAGAGCACCTTGAGTTCTAGCTCCTGGCAAGCTCAGATGATGCCATTGGCAATGATGGCACAGTTCACAATTCCACCAAAAATATTGACGAGGATGGCTTCAACCTTAGGATCAGCTGTGAGCAGTTTAAAAGCTTGATACACTTGGGCTTCCTTTACTCTACCACCAAGATCCAAGAAGTTGGCTGGCTTCCCACCATTCAGGAAAATGATGTCACAAGTTGCCATGGCAAACCCAGCACCATTCACAAAGCAAGCGATGTTCCCGTCCAATCCTATGTATTTCAGATCATATCTGGCAGCTTCATTTTCAATGGGCTCATTCTCTGACTTGTCATCCATGGCAAATATGTCCTTTTGATGGAATTCTGCGTTGTCATCAAAATTAATCTTGGCATCAAAACAGACAACTTGTCCTTCTGGAGTTTCACCAAAGGGATTCACTTCCACCTGAGTTGCTTCAATTTTCAGGAAGAGATTATACAGCTTCTTAATTTGATCTGCAGCCTGATTTTTCAAAGACCCACGGAAGCCTAGATTTTCTGCCATTCGTTGAGCTTGGCTGTCCTGTATACCTTCAAAAATGTCAATTTTCTCCTTAAAAATGAGTTCTGGAGAAGAAGCTGCCACCTCTTCGATGTCAACACCGCCTTGGGGACTGCCCACCAGGACAGGGCCATTGCAGGACCGATCCATCAGAATGGCCAGGTAGGTTTCTCTGGAAATGTCCAGGGCTTCGGCCACCATCACCTTGTTAATCTTCACACCTCCTTTTGGAGTTTGTTTCGTTGCTAGATTATACCCAATCATCTGTTTAGCCAGTACTTCTACAACTTTAGGGTCTTTTGTTAAATGAACGCCACCTTTCAGTCCGCTGTTGAAGATACCTTTTCCTCTTCCTCCAGCTAAGATCTGCGCTTTTAAAACAATTTATTTTGCATTTAGTTTCTTCGCTGCCTCGAGAGCCTCATCCGCAGTGTCTGCCACAAAGAATCTCTGCACCTTCACTCCGTTGTCCGACATCAGCTTCTTGCTCTGGTATTCCTGCAGGTTCAGCCATCTTCGTGAGGTGACTTGAATTGCCCTGTTCATTACTACCTTCTGGCTGATCCTTTAACTCTAGCTGGGTTTCAGAAAGGACACTGCATACCCTGAGACCCGGCCGCCAGCAGCCGCAGCCGCAGAGCCAAGCTTTGCACCAGCTTCCCGGCCTGCGCTGCCGCGGGGGACACCATCTTAACAGGAAACCAGGCCGACAGATTCATATTTTGACAGCTGATAGTATATTCAATAGTCTTTGTTAACACCACAGTTCAAGGCATTGATTCTGCTTTAGTATAGTTATCATTATATACTCACATAGTTGTAAAGAATGCATCTTCCTGTCCTCCAATTTTGACCTCTTCAGAGACAACTGCTTTCAATTATCTCAGTTGATAGCTGAAACTTGCAGGAGAATCAGCTCTGAGTCAGTTCCAACTTGATGGCACACAACAGTTGATTAGCTGAGTGTAATTTTAAAAAAACTTTTTGAAGGAGGCAGCAAATCTTATGTGAGGAGATCACCCATATATCTACTCATATCTTGGCTCTCTTAATTTAAGGTATATATCTATTAGTGAGATTACTGAATTAAATTGTTGCTTCTATTTCCAACTTTGTGAGGATGTTCTTTACTGTTTTCCACAGTGATTATACCATTTTATAGTCCCACCAGCAGTGTATGTGAGTTCCAGTCTCTCTACCCTCTTACTAGATTTTGTTGTTCTCTGTCTTACTGAATTTTACTGTTTTGGCTGGGATTAGAAGGTATTTCATTGTTGTGTAGATTTATGAATTTCTAACAGGTCAGGAGGGAGTTCTGGTGGCTCAATGGTAAGGAATTGAAGTGCCAACATAAAGGTGTGAATCTGCCAGGTACTCTGCAGGAGAAAGATGAGTATTCTCCTTCCATGCAGTTTACTGATGCTGAAAACCTGCTTGAGGGTCATCTGTGGGTGGGTTCAACTTGACAGAACACAACAACAATAACTAACAACATCATGCTGAGAAAGGTCAATGAAAGAGAGGAAAACCCTCAACAAGATGGATTGACATAGTGACTGTAACAATGAGTTCCAGCAGATCAGAGATTGTGAGGATGGTGCAGGATAGGACAAGGTTCATCAAAAATAACAGATTCATATGTATTTCCATTCCAAAATGGGACCCAATAGAGTGTGGAAATTATCAAACAATATCACTAATATCACATGCAAGCAAAATCCTGCTGAAGATTACCCAAATATGACTGGATTAGTACATCAACAGAGAACTACCAGAAATGTAAGCTAGGTTTAAAAGAGATTGTGGCACTAGACATTATTGCCAATGTCAGATGGATCTTGGCAAAAAGCAAAGAGTACCAGAGGAATGTCTGTCTTTGTTTCATTGACTATGCAAAGGCATTTGACTGTGTGGAACACAACAAATTGTGGCTAACTTTGAGAAGAATGGGAATCCCAGAATACTTGATTGTGCTTATGCAAAACCTATACTCAGCAAAAGCAGTCTTCAGAACAGAGCAGGGAAACATTGTATGGTCCAAAACTGGGGAAAGGAGTGTGTCAGGGATGTGTCCTGTCTCCTTACCTTTTCAATCTATATGCAGAACAGATCATTTAGGAGGCTTGGCTTATGAGGAAGAATGTGGCATCAGGACTGGAGGAAGACTCATCAACAACCTGTGTTATGCAGATTACACAATCTTACTTGCTGAAACTGAGGAGGGCCTGAAGCGCTTGTTGCAGAAGCTCAAGGACTGTCATCTTCAATATGGATTGAAGCTCAACATCCAGAAGACAATGATTCTTACCACTGGGCCAATTGGCAGCACCATGATAGATGAAGAAGAGATTGAGGTTGTTAAGAATTACAGTTGCTGCTCCCCCAGAGATGGCACCTCTCGTGGTTCGAATCCACCCTTAGCTCGGAGAGAGAAAGATAGACAGCCTTCTCCCACACAGTTTACAGCCTCTGAAAATCCTCTGGAGGGTGTGCAATGAGTTGTGTTTGCATGATCAAATTGGAGAACAGAGAAAGCAACTTGAGTCAATATACTGGTGTAGAACATTCTCGAAGTCTGGCTTCATTCCCAGACTGCTGAATTACCTGAAGGAGACAACATAGTCAGGCTGCCATCTTTATTGTGGTAGAACAGATTGCTCAAAAACTGTGTATCACACAACAGAGTTGGCTGGAACAAGCACAATTTAAAGACATTTATTTTCCATTTTGGTATATGATTCTTATCATGAGCTGACTCAAGACATGACCAAATAGACCTAGCCTTCCAGAGCTTTGCCCTTGGAACTGTGTCTTTATATATACAAAGGGCCCTCTATTATTTCTCT